ATACAAAATAGTCCCAAAGTCTTACATGTCGTACTTGTTTGCAGGGTTTGGTCAAAAAAGTGACAATTAGTCAAAACCAGCTCAAAAAGGAGTGAAACATGCACAAGTACCAAGGGCAAGTCCAACCACAGATGAAACAGATCCACTGCGGCTGCAATCCATTTTGTGCGGTCCGCGGTGATGAGATTCAGAGAGGTGCAGTTTTTGGTAACTCAAGCACTGCGGCCGCAAAGCATTTTGTGTGGACCGCAGTAGCCTCACCGCGGCCACAAACCATTTTATGCGGTCCGCAGAGATGAGATTCAGAGAGTTATGAAAAATGGAGATTGAAGCCAGCGCGGTCAGCAAGTCATTTTGTGCGGACCGCATTTAAGCCACCGCGGCCGCGGTGCATTTTATGCGGCCCGCGGTGGCCAGATTCAAAGAATGCAAAATCAAACCAAAAAGCTTCAGCGCGATCCGCGGTGCATTTTGTGCGGACCGCATTACCTTGTCAGGGGTATTTTTGTCCAGAAAATTCGGCCTAGTATAAATACTTTCTTTTCACATTTTTAGGTTATCTTTTTGTAATCTGACTTTGAAGAGAGCACGTGAACGACTCTTTTGTTCCATTTTGAGTAATTTGTAGCTACATTTACGCTGAATCTTTATTATCTTAGTTTGTAACTAAATATTATGGGTTATTCCTCATCTAATTTCTTATTTTCTTCTATTATTATGAGTAGCTAGACCCATTAGCCAGGGTTGTGGCTCAACACTAGTGTGGGTATGATGGGTCTTGTCTTTTAATGCTTAGATGTTTATGGGTGGTTGATATTTGGACTGATTTGTATTTTGCATGTTGGATTAGTGGTTGCAAACACTAATTTGTGCCTAAGTGACTTGGGCTCTTCTTGAGAAAGAGAGCTTAAGTCTAGGAAATCAGTCCAACAAGAAATTGGGGCGTACTCAAGAGATTGATAGCCCCAATTAAAGGGTTAAATCTAGAGATAGTAATACCCGACTTGAGCCTACATTGCTTGCTTAAATTCGACACCCAATTGGTCTTGAGAAAGTCAATTCGGGCAAAGTCACTCAAGCTACCGAGAGGTATAGAGTGAGTAGTGTCGTGCAATAGCTATATCGCGATCCCAGCATAACATCTTTGCCTTAGACTTAGAATCCCGTCAAGTAGTCACCTAGGGGGAAGTCACTTCCCTAGTGCCTCGTTACCTATTAGACAACCCTTTGACAAGTATTCTTAGGTAAATTTAGCATCTTATAGTATAGAAAAATAGAAGTAATCAAAAGAACAACTATGATTGGAAGCGTAATTAAGAGCATTACACATTGCTAGTTTAGATAGGAATCCAACTCCCAAATCTAGCTCCCTGTGGATTCGATCCCGACCTATTCGGGTAAAAGCTGCATCGACCGCTTTCGCCGCTCTATAGTGGTGCAGGGTTGGCTCCGATCACACCCTATAATATTTAATGAAGAATATTCTACAACATTAAGTATACTGACCGTTACAAGAAATATGGCATTCTCGCCGTTACACATTCTTCAATGGCCCTCATAATTGACATTAAAGATGGGCTTGATCCTGGGACCTTGTTCCCTAGGTGCAGCTATAAATAGTGAGCTATATTATCAGTGTAAATGACACAAATTTTCTGATAAAATATACGATACACTCTATTGAAAGGTTTATATAATTTCATCTTTTTGTTTTTTGGTACAACTATTGTTGTGCCCGGAAGCCCTGCTCCTGGAACTACTATTTCTGCTATTTCGTCTCTATCTCAAGGCTAAGTGTTATATTTTTATCTAATTCATCTATTATTTTAGGATCGAATTAATTCACTTATTTAAAAACTACGTATAAATTCAACTGTACCGTTTTATGGGTAAACAATTTTCAAGAATGATCATCTACCTAGTGGAGTAAAAATTTTCAAAATCTCGAAGTGTACAGTGTGTCTACTTATAGTAAAAAGCTCATCCTCATATTTTTCTGAGTCTGTGAAATCAAATTATACAATGGACAAAGCGAACCAGAGATCTAAATCCTAGTAACCACAACTGAGGGAAAAAGAGAGAAAGAAGAAAGGGAAGTAGATAAAAAGATAAATTGGTGGTGTTGCTTTCGTATTATTTTTATAGTACTATTGTCAAACATTGCGCAATTGCTTTTACTGTTTTGCTTTGTTCAGGAAACTTTGGCCCCACTCCCACTTATAACATAAAACGCTAATAATATGGAAAGTGACCCACCCTCTTTTTTGTATCATATTTTATTTAGACAAAATAGATTAAACATTATATTACTCTATCTATAGGAGGATATACACTACACGGTGGATCGGCAAACGCCCCATAATCATTGATTCATTCTCACATACTCACGTTGTGTGTGTTTATATATTAAATTAATCTTCAGGCGAACAGTATTATAAAGTTATATTACAGACAAAATATTTGCGTATAATTTTATTAGGTCTGTGGCAGAGGCCAATTGTTATTTTACTTTTCGGATTTCATTAGATATAAGAACTTTGTTTGACAAGCATGCTCTCACTCAATTAGTGTTAGGATTATTATTATTAAGTATAAGTATTACAGTAAATCTTAATGAGGCCTAATTAGGATGACCATTCAATCATACTTGTCAATCCAATATGTTTTATAGGATATTGCATTTTAAACAGTAGAAAGGCCAAAATGGATCAAGCTAAACCATTAGAAATTTCAATAGGCTGTCCCCCTTTTATGTACCTCTTACCCCTCCGCCATTTTAGCAACCTACATTCACATTAAGTTGGGGTTAATTACTTAAATGATCATTTAAGTTAGAAACTAACGGTAAAATAATGTTTATATTTTTTGTGGCAACAAAATCATTTACGCGTTGTTTGGATGGTTGTTTCCGCTTGTATTGTATTGTATTGTTACGCCACATACAATGTTTGTTTTGATTGTTAATATAAAACTGATTGTATCGTATTATTAAATCCATTGTTCCGGAACAATGAAAAACCCCATTTTATGAAACAACCAAATCGGTGTGGTGGGATTGTTCCGTATTTTCCTTTCCAATTATGCCCACACTTATTATTCTTTGTAATCTTGAAGCTTCACTTCTTCCATTGTTCAACCCAGCTTCTAATGCTTACTCTTCATCTTTTGCCTGTTGAAAAAGCTGATAGTGTGCTAGACCGAAGAAATCCAAATTGGTCTAGATATTTTTTCCTCCAGATCCAATCAGCCTTGGAATGGTTTGTCAGTATGCTTTTACAATCATTCTTAAGAGGAAAAAAATTCTTGGCAGCCTTATATAACAATGTGCTATTGCAATTCCTGCGAGCAAGTACTGCAAATATAGACAAGAGAGACTGGTTTTTGGGGCATTTGAAATAGCTGCAACAGTTAACTTGTTCCTGTGGTGCTAATTGTCTTCTGTCTTGTTCATCGGTATTGTGTTAGTAAGTGCATTCTCATTACTTTTAAATAGTGGTTGATTTTCTTCTTCCTGTGCTCAACTTGTGCTGTGCCCCTGCGCAAGGGCAGGAAGTGGATGGTTTGGGGGGGGGGGGGGGGGGAGGATTTATAAAATTTCTTGGACTCAGGTATCTTTTATAATCTATCTGAAGGGGCTGACAGTATTTTAGTGCTCTCATTAGAGGATTAATCTTTTCTGGAGAAGCCAGCATACCTTGTTAGTAGAACTTGTAACTTCCAACAATCATATTCTGCTGTGTCTCATCATTTCTTTCTCTGTTTATTCCTTTACAATTCTCAACTATCTCTCTATTCTCAACTCATGCAAATGGTAGAGTATGCTAACCTGCTGGTGTTACATCCTTTTGTCTCATGGGCCTCATGATATAGATGCTTCGACCCTACCATTAGTCTCAAGTGTTATACCTCTTTCCAACCTTCAATAAAATAATTGAAGGTATTTTAATAAACTTAACAGTACAGTACAGTACAATACAGTCAAACCAAACAATAAAGATGTTATTTAACAACATCAAATGATACAGTCTATCCAAACGTTGTATCCATCAAAACGATACAATAGAATACAATACAATACATTATAAAACGATGGGGAACAATGATCCAAACACAGTGTTAAGTATGTCCATATTTCTTACTCCATACACTCATTTAATTCATTTCAAAACCAAAAAAAAAAAAAAAATCACACTTAGTTTGAATGAGTACCTGAGTCAAAAAAAAAAAAAAAGAGTAACTGAGATTTAATTAAGCCAACCGTGTGCCGTGGGGAAAGGACCCCAACTAACAGTCAATTAGTGTAAACCCAAGAAAGGCAATATTCTTTGCGTTGGAATTGGGACATCAGACTCCTCTTTTCATCTACCCCAACCCCCTTCCCCCAAAACCAAAGCTTTACCAACCCAATAGGTAAAAAGCTCGCACAAAGGAGATCCAGTTTTCTAAAAGAAAATAATTCAGTCAATTTGTTCACCCACTTATTGATGTACCTCAGAAGATCAAGTAAAACCGAAAAAGAAAGTAAATTCAATAAAAAAGAAAAAAGAGAGAAAAGAAGGTAGTTTTAGAAATTTACACGGACCTTGAATTTCAAAGTAGAAATTTGTGTTCCAATAATTTTAAAAGCAAGAAATCTTTTTACTCCGTAATACGCAAAAAGAGATTATCACGTTATTCCAATGACACCTCTTTTTCCCCAATTATCTCCTTTTTACGGCGTCCGAGACGGCACGAGAGCTCTTGTCCTCATCCCCATCCTCCATTCTCTTCTTCCTATGATTTACTATGTGAAAGTAGATGCAGACCCGAAATTTGAATTTTATGAGTTCAAATTTTAGTGTTGTTATTACAGAACTCATTATATCCTTAAGGGTCCATATCTACAATTTACTGTAATTTTAATTATTTTTTGCATAAAAATTTGTACTCCACGACTAAAGTAATGGGTTTGAACCCGATGTTATAGGGCTACATACGCCCCTGTCTGAAAGCTTATGCCATATAATAACAGAAGATAAGAATATTTATAATTTTGTGTTCTTATTCTTTGTACAATTTATTACAGCAAGATCGGTTAAAAGAAAAAAAAAAAGATAAAAAGAAGAAGGAACGGAAACGGAAAATGAAAAAAGAGTTTCCGATCACCTTTTCTAAAACTCCAATATTATATCTTCATATACTTATATTTGTACTTGCTAGAAAAAAAAAAAAGCAAGAATTCAAAATGTTATAATAACACAAAAAGAATACAAAATTTTTAGGGTTTTTCCCTGAGAAGGGAAGCCAATCCGGTGACTACAACTTTGCTTCCTCTATCGCAACTCTTCGGCTTGACAGCCGGAGGTTGCCACATCATCATCACCGGATCCTGCAATGGCTTCACTTCCTCGCCGGAAGTTTTCTCCGACGGCGACGAGTTCAACGATGGCGACTTCATCTCATCGCTAACGGAATCTAACGGCGACGATTTGTCACCAAAAATCAAGTTTAACTCGCCGGACTTACTTTCCGATGGAGCCTCTTTGCTCTCAGCCACGGCATCAGACTCCTCCGCTGCCGCGGCGCGTGGAGCAGGTGTAATTCTAGTGTAGGGACTGAGCCATTTGGCTTTCATATACTCCGGTTTGCGCCATGGAGCAATGTGCATGCCTTTCTTCTTCAAGCTCTGCCGAGCTGCTTCCGAGACGATTGACACTATCTGCTGAATCCTATCCGCTTTTCCGACGAAGATAAACGGGAGCAATTGCAGAACCGCTTTGTAACTCCCCGTCGATCGCGCTATTTCAAATTCCGATCTGAAATCTAGGTCGATCATCACTCTTTCTCCTTCCACAGTCACATCAACGTACTCATACTCACCTGAAAAGAGCACATTCATCTTAGCACAAGAATTATCAAAATTCAACAGAGCATGAACACATACAGGAAGAACGAAGTATGCACCAGCAGGAACAGAGGAAGTTTTTTCCCATCTGGATTTGCAGGTAGAAGCTTTATAGCCAAGAGCTAAAAGTTCATCGGTGACGATTTTTCTCAAATCGTCCTTACGCTTGCAAGATTTGTGCTTTTCAACGATTTTTGAAGTGTCAGCTAACAGATTCCTCTCAGCAACACTTGCACAGGGAATTAAGCTCTAAAATTACAACAAAAAGAGAAACAAAATCAGATAGATCAGGAATAAATTGCAATTTTCTGCTTTTATATTGAAGCGATCGATGTTATTACCTTGAGAGTATCGGAAGAATCCCCAAACGAAGAGTTTGTAACTGAGTCAGAAAATCCAGTAGAGAAATCAAACTCATCATCGGAGCTATCATTGCTGTTTCCGTTAAAGCAATTGCATTTACGGCCGAATTTGGCAGCGGATGGCTTTTCATTGTTCTCTTCGATGAAATTCTCAACCATTTTGTCCAAACAAACCGAACTCGGCTCGAACTCAGTGGCGAGTGCTCCATCATTAGCAGCGCCGGCGGCACTCGGCTTCTCAGCTGCAGATGAAATCCGTAAAACGCTAGGGAACGGTCGATCAAAAAACCTTTTCAGTCGTGATTTCAACACAGGCGGCTTAACTATATCATTTTTGACTGATTCTCTATATGTTGAAGAATTGATCGGCTGAACCTTCATCGGAAAAGGCATGTCCAGCTATTAACCAAAACAGGTACTTGTTTCTACTGAACTCTTTCCTTACAGCCTAATTATACTCTTCTGTCAGTTTCTGCTCAATTCTCAGTACTTTAAAAACCTACTCGCTTTGCGTGTCAAGATCAGAATCCTTTAAATGCCTAAATCCTTAATCACAGAAATTCATGAAAATTCACAGAAATCAATGCTTTGACCAAAAAAAATCTCGACTTCATCGTATTCATGATTCATTCACACCTACTGTTCACCTTTTCCTTTCACACAGCGAAACAAGTTAACACAATCGCGCATAATCCGTTCACCATTATCACTATTACGTTTTCAATTGTGATAGAAAAAGATGAAATTCCCAAAATTTGATACCTTTTTCTTCCTTCTAATCTTCGGGGTAGTTGGCGTAGCTGAACAAGAATGAAATGCGTGTTTCCATAGTCAGTGCTTCTTATAGGAAACGTGAAGAATAAGTCGCCGGGATATTTATCCCTCCGACGAGGTCGTTATTACCGGGATGGGGAGAATTATGTGAAGGGGAGTAAAGTGGGCCTGTATTTGTAAATGATTGCTAGTATTAGTTTTTTTTTCTCTTTTTTCTTTTGGGTTTTCTCAGTTTTGGTGTTTTGTGAAGTTGAAGTTGAAATGAGGGAGTGGATTTTGAGGAGCTTATATAGAATGGATGGAGTGAAAAGGTGAGTTGTACTGACTAGGATTTTAAACGCCACATCAGTAACCACGTGTCGCGGATACCCCTCTAAAATAATTATTTCATGTGACAAGCTGTGGTAAACTTTTTAACTGATTTCAGATCATGCCACGTGTTAGGATGTGTTAGCTGGACGGCCAAGATTGGTGGAGGAAACTGTATGACACTTGTAATGAGAGAAGAGAGTGACCGGAATTTTGTAACGTACAAAACGGCATGAGAAATTTTGGACTTTTTGGGGGGAGGTGGGAGAGTGGGGACAGTTTGGTGGGGTAGGTCTAATTATCTTGCTAAATACAACAAAACTGGTTTAATGTCCTAAACTACTACCTTCCTCTCAAAGAAAAAGTTAATGATATTTAGAAGCAAATAGAAAAATATTGAGTAAAAATCATGTAGTAGTATTTTATAATCAAATTCTTTAAACCGGATATCAGTAAGTACTTTCCGTGAAATGTGTATGCTGCTCAATTGCAAAACTGGATTTTCATATAGCTTTGGTTTTAGAGTTTTTAGCTAAGTTTTTGAGTTTTCTGGATATTCATTTTCTATTTTGGATTTCACTACTTAGATTAATACATATATTCCAAAATATTACAAATAGGAAAAGGACGAATTTATTTGCGTAACAACCCGAAATCTAGTGCTCTACGAGATCTATTTTTGCAATTTCTAAAAGTCAAAGTTCCAAATAATAGCAAAAAAGAAACTAGCTGTTCGATCTTTGAAAGTCATGGTTGAAACAGTTTAATTAGGACTTATTCCCAGTAATATAATGCTATCGCGTTATAAACCCTCCAACTTCATTCGAAAAAAATTTATATATATAATATATTCAAATAATTCTTGATATATTGTATTTATGACTAGCATCAGAAATAGTGAACTTTGGGACGCAATAGTAATTTATTTAGCCTTCGTTTGTTTTCATTTATTCTTTATAGGTTGACTCATTCCGATTTGTACTAATTTAAAAATCATTAAGATATTGTAAACTTAAAGATTCATGCAAATGTGATACTTTCACCGTCACTCCGCCCATTACGATTGCACAACGCCTCCATTAGCCTCCACTAGAGAACCACCGAACCACTGTTCAAATTTTGTTCAACCAATTCAACTGTCAACTACCATCATAAGCCAACACTGCACAACCTCCACTAGTAAGCAGCCCTAACGACCTTCACGATAACACCACCAACCAGCTATCACTACTACCAACTATCACCATCAGCCCAAAGGCTATTCAAAATTTCAAAAGCATGGGTACACTATGAGTGCTAAAGACCTGAGTTTTCGAGAGGGTATCCGAGAGATGAATTTTTTGGTATAGCAATTTTAAAATTCAAAATAAAGAATAAAGAAAGAGAAGGAAAAAAATGTGACCAGTAAAAAAGGGAAAAAAAGAAACAAAAACAAAGTGTTTAATTTGAAAAATGATAGGGCATGAGGATTTAACCCTATTTGTTAATTAAAACATAATTAAGAAAAAAGTGTACAGGATCGAACTCCTAACTGAAAGGTAGAAGGTGCACCTCTTTACAAATACACTAAATGATCACTTGAGCTTGGGTTCACCCGTGCTAATTTAAGTAGTTGAGCTGAAATTCATTGATACTAATGTATAATTTAGGAAGAGGAGGATGGGTTCACGTGAACCCACCCCTCCCATGTGCATCCGCTTATGCATCAGCGACCTTTTTATACTCATCACCGTCGACCACTATCACACTAAGGGTGTGTTTGGTATGAAGGAAAAAATTTTCCGGAAAATGTTTTCCAATTTTTCCATGTTTGGTTGGCTTAAATATTTTGGAAAATATTTTCCTTATCAACTCATTTTCCTTCAATTGGAGGAAAATGATTTCCTTATCAAGAGAAGGGAAAACATTTTCCAAAACTCCTTCTCAACCTTCCCCACCCTATCCCCCCAACCACCCCCACACCCCCCCA